AAATTCACATCTCTCATAAAAATGATATAGATAAATTAATTTTTATGTCTATTACCTAAAATCTATATCCCCATAATACGGATATGAAATGCTGTAAAAAAATGATATAAAAAACTTTTTTTCTTGTAATAGTGTACAAAAGAGAGAGTTATCAATTTGGGATCAACGGTGGCAGAGGTTCAAATTGGCTATAAACCTATGGAATTTTATTGAAATTGGGCTTCTATTCTTTTTAGACACATCTGTTTCTCATGTTATTTGGCCAAATCACAGGCAGTTTTTCAAATACATTAAAAGGAAACCCATTTTTTGTGTGTCAATTCAACATAACTTTTTGTGCTGCGTACATGTGTTTTCAGCATAGTTGAGCACTAAATACATACACATCTCTAACAAATTTTGGCTTATTACTATGTTGTAAGAAAGGTGTCTCTTTTTTCGGCAAGTTGTTGTTTTCCCCCCGGTAGAAAGATACAGTGAATGCTAAATCCCATCTCCATTATTTGTCAATTGAACTTAATAATTGCAATGCCCAGACGCTCTCAAGGTTGGTCTATTATGCATGATTGAACCCATCCCACGTGGCCCATACAGTAGCCCATAATAGCACGTCCATAAAACTGATCCAGCGTAATCTGAAATGGCCTTGATCTTGGTTCTGTCCATATAAAACAAGCAACATAGGTTTAGAAAATCATCGGTATCAGTCATCAATATATCTAATATAAAATTTGCACACAGAGATTGTGCCACAAGGGAGTTTAGGTGCCCAATCAATCAATGCAGTGCAGGGAAATATATGTATAAGGGCCCAGGTGTCCGTCTGTGTGTTTTATTGGCTTCTTTTCATAACACAAAAACTTCACCACAATTTTGTTACCCACTATCAAACTAGCAGATTCATCCTCTCAATTGCTGCCAATAAAGTCCTTTACCCTCTATCTATTGTTTCTATTCATTTCATTCATTTCAGACGATATGTAGCCAAGTGATATGATAGATAGTGAACGAGCTACAAGTTACTTTGGACACAAAACAACCTCACCATGCATCTGCTGGATCCTCGATATGATTCCTTTACCATAATTCGGTTATTTCTGACTTATATCATTGTCCTAGAAACGACTTCTCACTGAACTCGTTGTGTGTTTTTTTTTTTTTGATAGAAAAAGACTTAAATGCATCTCATTCTTAAACTCATCAAGACTTAGACAACCATACAATATTTTAAAAAGTATTTATAAAGATACTTACATATCGAAAAATATTTAGAGATATAATGAGTAACATAATTTGAATGAAATTATGAAGTATATTTTTATCAATTGAAATAACTTTTTTATAGATCCATGGTTTGCTTTTATTATTGTACAAAGTAGTTGAGATTAACAATTAGCAACCAAAATATATCTTGGTACGTAATTAATGACTTTAAGTATGGGATTCTGAGCAAATTGGTCGGTTACCCTTGTATCCATGGCTAAAAGTGGCAAGTTGATCAACTAGTTTATTATTGCTCCTCCAATCCTTTCATATGGTTATCCCATAATTGCCAAAGTTATCATTAAATTAATCAAGCTAAGTTTAATTATGATCAAGTATAATCTGGACGCTGTACTTTGGAGATTTTTTGTCGGCCAATACTTAATTAAGATATAGGAGAGAAGGTGAGAAATGTGTCATTAGTAAAATTAGGTAGTATTTCTATTTTCTAAGTTTTGACCGCTTTGTTAATGCAAGTTTGTGTCCTCCCATCAACCCAACAAGTAGCTGTGCAAGTTGGTGATTAAATTGACTCTAATGTCTTGTATTTAACTTTAACAGAAGAGGCTTCTGAGTTAATTAATAATGTCATAATTTAATCACACGCCCCATCAATGGTTCAGTCAGCTTAAAGCTTGAAGGTTCTGATTCATTTGAACAGAGAAAAGAAAGACAGACATGGGAAGACCAAACATGAAGTCAATAATTAACAATTTAAGCCCTATCATATACAAACGACACCCATTAAAAGCCAAGGTTACGTATCCATATAATTGATGTATGATAGGGTGAGGTTGATAATAATGCAAGGCTATAACTCCATAAGTGGTGAGGTTGAGAATAATGCAAGGCTATAAATCCATAAGTGGTGATAAAAGGAGATCAGATTCTTCACATTCACGAACTGAAAGTGAATAGAGGGATGTGATCAGTCCGCGAGATGAATAGAATCATGGTAATAATATAATTGGAATATTCCTAATATGTCATACCCTAAAGAGGTTGCATTTTATCATACCAATTAATTTCTAATCAAGCATAAATTTAATTAATTGGAGAAGAAAGCAGTTTAAACATAAAGATTGCAAACAATAACTTGATTTGGTGGTAATTAATTAACTACTAGAAGCATCAGAGGATGAGGGTTCTCCTTATGGAGCAGCTAGAATTTACCTTTTAATTGACTTCTCATAATTATAGTGATAGTTAATTCTAAAATGTTCTAACTACTTTTTTACTTGGTTACCCATATTTAATTTGTTTTCGTGGAACCCAAATATTAATATTTAATGTTTTATAGTCCCTACCCCTCGGCTTTATAAAATTGGAGAAACCTTACGTCTATGCATTGGCAATGTTAAACATCTATATGCTGCATATGCTGGAGTCCCCAATCTCTTCAGCCTTCAACTTCATCTTTTATAATTCTATGTATATTATGTGCATGTCAATATGCAACAATATTAAATACTTGGCGATAGAGCTTGCTGTTTGAAAGGGGCTTACTCGGCTCTATTCAGATTAATTTGACCTCTGTTAAATCCTCTCAACTCAACATGAGACATAGCTTAGAATACTAAAAAAAAATTAATAAAGATAGATGGGGTGAAAAGTTGAGTAATAAGCTCCACAACTATCAAGAGACTTGAATTTGTAGAAGGTACTAATTTTTCATAACTATAATTAATGTTTAAATTTTTATTGAGAGAGATGATCACGTTTAGTATCCAAGATATTTAAATAAAATTATCTTTAATAAAATGACACGTATGAATAATGAGAAAAAGAAAGAAGCTCCACAGCTAATTATGAGATGTGAATGATACATAGTTGATTTTATTTTGTTATGTCCATCTCTCTCCAGTCTCCAGATACATTCATTCCATCAGGAGCAAAAGAAGAAGAAGATGATGATGAATAGAAGCGAAAATGCAAGGAGTTGAGTGGTGGAAGGCTTGTTTGGTAAGTTATGGATAAGGTCATCTCAATCTGGGAAGTGGGGTAGGGGGCACGTGTGACATGGCCATTGATGCTTGCGAAATGCTCGCAGGAGGCTTGATTATCAAGTCCAAGATGAATAATGGTACAAATTAAGATTTGGGTGAATCCTCAAAAATATCGTATCTGTTCCACTTTATTCACCTAACACCACCTTACCATTAGACCCCGTCACATGGGGTCAACATTTGCAGGTTTTAGGTGAACCCGCTATCACTTGGTTTCCATCATCACCTACTGCGTTTTCGCTTCCCTCTGTACCAATTCAACTGTATGTTTTCTTTAAATTTATGATTAAAAAACCCTGTTTGTTTGACTTGCACATTATCTGCACTCAATGGATTGTGACCTATGCAGAAGTGGAACTGCCTTTTCCTTTATTCTTTTTCAAACTCCATAATTAGGATAAGTTTCTCTTTTTTTTCCTTTTTTTTTTTTCGGGGAAATTATGAAGTGCATTCAATGACTAACCAGTAACCAAGAAACAACACTAATACCTACAAGGAGAGCCAAACCATTCATCATTCTCCTCCTTCAGGTAACCAAGGTGAATCATGATCAAAGATATGGCAAAAGCTCTCAAAAGCATAAGCCTTCCTAGATGAGGAATGAGCAATTAGAAACTACATCCCAATATACAAAGTTAAAAAACTAACCAATTCCTCTCAATTATTTTACAAACATTATAATAATATCATGGAAAAGATGCTCCAGATTGCAACCTCTAGTGATGAGGTTAATAGTTTTTTTACAATCAGAGTTACTTCAATTTTCCAGAATCTTTTAGACCAATAGAGCTTAAAACCTATGCCTATTCTCATAACTTCTTCTATAAGAAACAACACTAAAACCTACAAGGAGAGCCAAATCATTCATCATTCTCCTCCTTCAGGTAACCAAGGTGAATCATGATCAAAGATATGGCAAAAGCTCTCAAAAGTATAAGCTTTCCTAGATGAGGAATCAGCAATTAGAAACTACATCCCAATATACAAAGTTAAAAAACACTAACCAATTCCTCCCAATTATTTTACAAACATTATAAATAATCATGGAAAGGATGCTTCAGATTGCAACCTCTAGTGATGAGGTTAATAGTTTTCATACAATCAGAATACTTCAATTTTCCAGAATTTTTTAGACCAATAGAGCTTAAAACCTATGCCTATTCTCATAACTTCTTCTATTAATTGGTGAAAGTTTTTCCAAATCATTGCAAAAACCAATGACCCAATTACCATTGTCATTATTAATTTGACCACCACAAGTGGTCTTTTTTTTCCCCTCTTTTCACTTCTACATTCATGAACTAGAGAAGAATCGCTTTCAAAACTAGCCATTCAAATATTGTGGTCAATTGTTAAGTGCCTTTTGATTTAATGACATTTCACACTTTTTTTTAAAAAAAAAGAGATTGCAAGTTCTATACCTCATTTGATAAAAAAGTAGCACTAATTGTGATGAGTGAGTATCACCCTTTATATAGGAAAATGGATAGGTAATTGGATGTGTCATTGTGTTTATATTTGATCCATTTGAAAAAATTCTAATCACTTTTTGTTGCCATACGAGTGGTAAAATTTCAAACAACTTAATTATGTGGCATTGATCCTCACATCTAATTGTTATAATTTACCTCAATCTCAACCGTTGAAATATTTTATCATCTCAACCCGTTCATCCCAATCTCCCTCAATCTAGTGCTATGAATATCGCCCATTCCTCCACTTCCTACCTTGAAGGGTACCTTAATGGTGAACCAGGCCAATTTCTGATTCATTGCTTCAAGCCAGCCATAATCGCTCCTTCCTTCTCATTCAAAACTTGTCACAAAACCTTCTACTTCTTCAAAAACTTGTGGCTTCTGACACATTACGGGACCCCAAAACCAAGGCGGCTCTACTACTCGGACTTGGTTTAATTTGCTCCTTCACATTCACGGGATCTGCTTCGTCTCTGGAACTTCCATTTCTGGGTTTTTTCACTCCAATGCTCTCTATCTTCTCACATGGGCCTTATTTCGTATCCATCGTCGTTGATGGTGAGATTACTTTCGTATATTTGCTTATGTTATTATTATTTAATAGCTTTCTCTGATTTTTCCCTGCTCTTACCTTCTTTCTCGTGCTGGGCTCTACTAATCCATTTATCTTTTTCTTGAATAAGTTTCTTGTCACACTTAGATATTTCTATCTTGTTCTATGAAACAGCTCGAGTTCTCATCCTTCTTTCCTCGTCTCTAATTCCCACGCGTTGGTATAGTATCCTTAAAATTGAGAGTCCAGTGGGCCTGTATCAAGCACAATGGGTGAAGCAGTTACCGTAACTAAGCTCAATTCAACAGCGCAGGTCTGTTACAATGTTACGTTACGTAATTTTTTGTTTGAAGCTTGAGCTATGAAGTTTTAGTACATTGACATTTGAGAGTCCTTCACTCCTCCGTTGGCCTTTTGCTTTCTCCTAGACATTGGCTTCGGTAAGTGGTTCGGTTTTTGGAAGTACTCTCCTCATTCCCCGCCTCCGATCCCCCTCGTTCTTTCTGCTTTCCAACTTCTCTCTGAAATTTGTGGATTTCTAAGCATTTGTCTCCCTGTACACATTTCCCGATTTTCCGCCTTAATTCTTGAGCCTCATCACTTTTCTTCTCTTTCTAGCTCTCTATTTCTTTTGTGCCTCTAGTTCAAATGCCTAAGATTTTGGATCAAGGATTCGAATTGCGTCCCAACTTTTCTTTGCATTTTAACCTCCCGTATATGTGTTCACCCGTCATCGTATTGAACTTGGCATTTTGCATGGATTGAAAGGCTGGTCTGGTGGGCAACGCAAGGACCTGTAAATAATAAAGTATCGCCTTTTGAGCCAGAATAACAGTGTTCTCTTCCTTGATATCTTATGACTTCCTATAAGATTCCTTTCCTGGCTAATTTCAATTCTTTTTTCTTTGATATCCCGGAATTGTTCTTTATGTTAATTTGAACAATGTCAACTGAGTTGCTTAATAACAATCCTTAGTCAAATAGTGATTCGCTGCATCAGTGGTAGATACTATTATGGATATGTACTGAAGCTCTGTAAACTTACCAAATCGTTTTGTTTTTTCTTTTGGTTCATATACTTAATTACAGTATTAGTCCAATCATAATGCCATTCCGAGATTTTGTTCGTGAGCTCAGGGAAATTCGAGATGGCATGGGTAATATATCTCGAAGAGGGATAGATGCCAGGCGTAATTATTGCCGTGGAAAATCTCTCATTGCACCTGAATTGTCCTCACCAGCATCATCATCTTTGTTAGTGACTGAGCAGGGCCACTGGGCTAACTTGCCGCCTGAGTTGTTGTTAGACATAATTCAAAGGGTGGAAGCAAGTGAAACTTCCTGGCCTGCCCGGAGGGCCGTTGTAGCCTGTGCCTCAGTTTGTAGGTCATGGAGAAAAATAACAGAGGAGCTGGTGAAGACACCAGAACAGTGTGGGTGGCTTACCTTTCCCATATCGCTGAAGCAGGTAATAGCACTTGTTGCAATTTATGTAGGTACTTACCTATCTTAAATTCGGACGTACAGATTACTAATTTGTGATTCTTCCCTACTAAAATGTTTTGACGCTTCTTTGTCTATTAGCCTGGTCCAAGAGAGACTCCAATTCAGTGTTTTATAAAGAGAGAAAGGGCAACTTCAAAATATCATTTATATCTTGGTTTGAGCCCAGGTAATATGGATGATCTCTCATAGTTTCTTTGTCACTGGTTCTTCATATTGCTGTTGTGAAGACTTGAAGGTTTCTTTTTGAATTTAAACATTGGTATTGAACTTGTTGAAAAGACCATCCTGTTGAATCATTACTTTGTTGATATCTCCTACATGAGAAAATTCTGTTGATCATATAATTTAAGAAAGCATGCAATTTTGCTCATAATAGTAAAACCATTATAAGCGAAGTGTCTTATTTTTCCTTCCTTGATTTGGTAGTTCGGAGGGGGGGGGAATTTCTTGAGGCAGTATTTTTTCCCTTCTAAATTCCTTGCTGTTAAGTATTTTGTTTGATGAATTATATTCTTTGGTCTAATGTAATTGTGGAAGCTGTTATGCAGACGAAATTTGGTATACAAGCTTTAACAATCTTTTATTCCCATGTCTCACTTTAGCTTTCCTTTTGGAGAAAACCTCTTTAGTTCTTTGGAAGTGAAGCATTTATTATTTTATGCATAGTTACTACTGGATATGTTTAATTGGATTTTATTATCTTCTGCTGGGTTTTATCGTTTTGTAGCTCTCTCTGGTGATATGAGCAAGCTGCTACTGGCAGCAAAGAAGATTAGACGGACAACATGTACAGAATTTTTTATATCCTTGGTCGCAGATGATTTTTCTAAAGCAAACAATACTTATGTTGGAAAGTTGAGGTTAGTCACACCTCAGCAAGGTCTTATCTTGTTGGTTGCTACATTCTTTTATTGTTAAATTGATCTGTAAGCAATGAACAGGTCGAATTTTCTAGGCACCAAGTTCATGATCTTGGATAGTCAGATTCCGCTTGGCTCTTCCCTTCCATTGAATAATAATAAATTGCAGCAAAGAATCCATTCAAAGCAGGTTCTTCCAAGGGTTGCTGCTGCAAAGTGTAATGTGGCCACCATATCCTATGAGCTCAATGTTCTCCGCACAAGAGGTCCAAGGAGAATGCGGTGTACCATGCATTCAATTCCCATATCTTCCGTCCAAGAAGGGGGCACTGCTCCTACTCCTTTGAAGTTTACTAATTGCCTCGATGAACATTTATCTACCACGCTCATATCAAAGGGAAAAGAGCCAGGAGTTGAGCATGACACCATTAGTGATGACATGCCCCCAGAATTGTACGTCTCGGGAGAACCACTTATTTTGAAAAATAAAGCTCCTAGATGGCATGAACAACTGCAATGTTGGTGCTTGAATTTCAAGGGACGTGTTACAGTGGCCTCAGTGAAGAACTTCCAGCTCGTAGCAGCTGCAGAACCTCAACAAAATGTTTCAGCGGCAGAACAAGATAGAGTGATACTACAATTTGGGAAGATTGGAAAGGACATATTCACCATGGATTACCGTTATCCCCTCTCTGCATTTCAAGCCTTTGCAATATGCTTGAGCAGCTTTGACACCAAACCTGCTTGCGAGTGATCATATGCCTTGTCTTATAGTGGGCTAACTTCATGCTACCCTTCCCTTCCTATACATGTAAATATATCTTGAAAAGAACGAGGGAAGAAAGAGGAAGTTGGGCTACTACTCTTGCGCCAATTAATGCCGTCATCTGCAATTGCAATTTTGTTGACCCTGCTGTTAGGCTGTGTTTAATTGGCAAGTTTGCTGAGTTATTAACTTCTCCATGCATATTGTAGCTGATCGTGTATTAAAAAAAAAAAATTCCAAGTTATGTATTTTGCAAAATGACGCGTTCTATTGTATAATCCATTTTGTAACTGAACCAGCTTTACTTCAAGTAGAATGGTAACAGTTTGCAATATGGGCGAAAGGTCTGGGACTCTGTTTGGCTAGGAAAGCCCATGTTTTAAATTCTGACTTTTGCATCTTTGATCACTTTTGTTGACCTTCATGGCTGGAGGAGGAAAATGATGATTGATGGTTCTTTAGGTTTATAGTTTTGATTATTTTGTCTCTTATACTGGACCTGTTTCTTTCGTTCTGATTAAATGAATTTCAGTTTTCACTCAAAAAACAAAAGAAAAAACCGAAAAGTCTAGGACACACGGCTGCGGTTGATATCTCGCAACTTTAAAGTTGGGAGTGTATCAGACAACATCCTCAGTAATATTATTTATTGTATTTGCATTAGTTATAAAAATATTTGCAGCTTTCCTACCTCCTTTGCAGTATATTATGGGTGTGAAATAAAAGATGTGCTAATTTTGTCTAGGGCCTTGATATTTTTATCCTTTTGATTCTTCATCATCAGACCCGACGGGCTCTGCTGGCCTTCGGGGAATAATCAATTGAACTCTAGGGTCTTTTTCGGTGACGGAACCGTGATACATCAGTGAGTTATTGATACCCTGTATATTACTATTGAGATATGCATTAACCGCTTGATTTGGTTCAACCGAATTTTTGCTTGACTCTTCCTCTCTATCGGATTCGATGGTCACCTCTGGGCTTTCCTGAGAATCAATCCTATGGGCTTGGTGTATGTGAACTGATTCTTCATTCATAGTTGACTCTGTGCCCATATGCATTGTTGCTCCTTTGTTTTTGCCAGCCAGAGTAATCGCACTAACAGTTTTGTCTTCCATGTCGTCTGCAGGCTTGCCCATTGCTAGTTTGTGAACTAACTTGAAAATATCCTCTTTGATTCCTTCTTTCAGGGGAGTTTTTTCCCCAGTGGGTGAAATATCCTCTTGATGGGAAGGACTTGAGAGATTCTTGGCCACCGGATATACTGAGCTAAGAACTTTGGTGTCTTTTCCGGTGGAATTGGATGCAGATGTGACTTTGCTCTTTGTACTTTCTCGAGTGTCCTGCTTTTTCCTTTTTGCACCAATGACCATGCTAGATGGATCCGTAGTTTGTGTTCCTGAAGTAGAGGCTTTCATATGGAGCTTAGGGGGCATCCTCTTAGGTTCAGGAGAGGTCTTTGGTTGGATTGGTCTTCTGGCATGGAGACGACCTTCGATGGTGACATTTTTTGTTGTGGCATTGGATGAGGCACATGAGGGCTTGTTTTCAACGGAGACTCCTTTGCTTGTGTCGCTGGTACAGACTCATGGGAAGAGATCTCTAATTGGGTTTGTTCTTTAGAATTAGGACTGGTTTTTGATGGTGACTCCTTCAGTTGTAGCACTTGCTCATGCACATGAGAACGGGTCTCTGATTTGGTTATTTCTTGAGACTTGGTGATGGCTTTAGATGGTGATTCTTTTGATTGTGGCATTGACTTAAACACAGGAGAAGAAGTCTTTAAGTGTGGAACTGACTCAGACACATGGGAAGATGTTTCTGGTTGAGTTAGATCTTGAGACTTAGGAGTGGTTCTCAAAGGTGACTCTTTCATCTGTGGCACTGGCTCAGACACAGGAGGGGAGGTCTCTGATTGGGTTATTTCTTGAGACTTGGGGATGGTTTTAGAGGGTGATTCTTTTGATTGTGGCTTTGACTCAAACACATGAGACTCTATCTTGGGCTGTGTAACTGACTCAGACACATGGGAAGATGTTTCCGTGGTCAAATCCTGAGACTCGGGGGTGGTTCTTAAAGGTGAATCCTTTAGCTGTGGCAGTGACTCAGACACATGAGGAGAGGTCTCTGATTGGGTTATTTCTTGAGACTTGGGGATGGTTTTAGAGGGTGATTCTTTTGATTGTGGCTTTGACTCAAGCACATGAGACTCTATCTTGGGCTGTGGAACTGACTCAGACACATGGGAAGATGTTTCTGGTTGAGTTAGATCTTGAGACTTAGGGGTGGTTCTCAAAGGTGATTCCTTCATATGTGGCACTGGCTCAGGCGCTTGAGGAGAGGTCTCTGTTTGCGTTATTTCTTGAGACTTGGGGATGGTTTTGGATGGTGATTCTTTTGACTGTGGCATCGACTCAAGCACACGAGAGACTATCTCTGGCTGTGGAACTGACTCATCAGACGCATGAGAAGATGTTTCTGATTGAATCTGATCTTCAGACTTATGGATGGCTCTAAAAGGTGATTCCTTTAGATGTGATGTTGGCTCCGACACATGAGGAGAGATCTTTGGTTGGGTTGGTTCCAGAGATTTAGGGACAGTTTTTGATGGTGACATATCTGGTCGTGGCTCTTGCTCAGGCACTGCCATCTTTTCATTTTCTCGTTGAGGTTGAGTAGTTGGGAAAGAGGAAATAGAAGCCAAAGATTCAGATTTTGACAGGGAAGGCCCTGAAGATCCATCGGTCATTGAAAATGGTTTCTCTGACTCAAGTGAACGAGATGGTATGTCTGGTTGAGGATCAGCTATTGGGATATCCTGAGGAGGAGCTCGTGCTGGGGCTTTCTCAGGTGATCCATGAATGAGGATGGTCATGCCTACTTGCTCTTGGGATTTTGATTCATCTTTAGGATGAGTATAATGACGTGATTGTGGAGCTGATGGTGCTGAAAACCAAGGGAATCGAAATCGAAATGGCTTCTTCTTCTTTGCCATTGGTGGTTAAGGACCACAATAATGTGTCACTGAGATTTTGGCTCAAGGAAAGTTTTGGAGATGGCTATGTAATGTTTTGTGGATGCAGAACTATGGATATAACAGCTTAGATTTTAGAAGTATTTTGTGAACTCACGATTTCTTCTTGCTTCCTCGGGAGCCTTTGGCATTTATTCCTTTGAAAGATTGTCGCTGAATGCTTTGCTTGGCTTTTATCTGAAGCAAACTATTCTAGTCTTGTGAAACAAGAGAGGAAATTTCGGTTACCTCTTGCAGGAGGAATTCCAAAGGATATGCTTAGCCTCATTGTAAGCTTTCACGGTTAGTTTCATTTTGCCACTCACCCACGTGTATTTAGTTATATATTTTGCTTGTGTGAACGAAGTCCTAACCCTATTTTGTTTTAAGAGAAAATGAAGGGGAAGGGATAAGAGAAACTGCTTTAATAAGTTCGACTTAAAAGAAAATTGGAATGGGATGTAAAGTTTTTAATTAGATTTTATTGTCATTTTATCTTTCATCTTTTTTTCTTCCCTAAAAAAATTAACTAGATTTTTCAAATTTGTAAATTAAACTCGTTCGAATGTCTTATCTCCTCCATTTTCCTCAATCCAAATAGATGAGTACCTTTCCTGGTACATGCCATGAAGAAAAGAATTATGGTGAAAGATACCTTCAAAAAGTAACACTTACATTAGAAAATGTTTGAGTAAAGGGGCTAAATTAATTTCTTTGAAATAATTAAATTGAGAGATAAGTCATTATTTTCACAAATTATATTAATAAAAAATTTTCAAAATACAATCAAAACCAAATCAGAACATAAACTAAAAAGATAAAACAATTAACCTTGATTAATGAAGTCTCCAGCATGATTTAACTCAAACAATGACTAGAGAAGCGAGTTCTCAAAATCCAATCCATTGGACACAGTCCTTTCGATAAAACACAATGACACAAAATCATTACTTTTTTTCTAAAACATAAGTTTCTCCAATGTAGGACCTGATAGCTTCTTTGACTAATTCGTGATGCTTTGTCACAGGTGGCTCATTAGAGGGGTTTACCGACTGAGCAAATTTAGATCTGGCTTTAATACCATTTTATTATAGAGTCATTATTCTCTCCCCAAAAAGTCAGCTCAGTGAGGTGTGCAATGCATCCGTTTATATGATCAGGACCTTTCCCAAATCCATCCGATGTGCGACTTGACAACGAGCCATCTAGTCAGCAATCGGATTACCTACCGACCAATCTATCACTAATACATTATAAAAAAAATGTAGAAAAGTTTATGCTAATGCTTTTATCATCTTCTTTTTCACCTTTTAGAAGAGCCTGTTATTCCTCTCTCCAGTCCCAGGGCTTTTTCAACATTGGGAATCAAAGCATCTAAATTGCTTTTTGAGTCTGGTAAAGGAGGGAAACTAGCAAGAGTAATTCCAAGAACCCAGATCTCTCTGGTTCTGGTACCTGACTCTTATACGAGTTTTATGTGTATATATATATATATATATATAACTTTATTTCCAATGCTCTTTTGATTATATATATAACTTTATTTCCAATGCTCTTTTGATCGCCAGCATTTTCCTGACTGAAAAAGAGGTCGTGAGCCTTCTGGGTTGTGGCTAAGAAAAATATGAAATTGAATATGGAGAGAATAGGTTATTTTGCATAAATTAGTTTTTTGGCCTGAAATTTTGTATAAATTAGTTGCATTTATTGTGTATTCATTTTTACATGAATCACCGTCATGTATTTAATTAAGATGAAAATGTAATTAAAATTAATAAATTAGATAAGTTTAGAAATACATTGTTCAATCTACAAATGCAATATGGATATTAATTTCATATATTTTAATTATACACCTATTCATTTTCGTTCTGCTCAAATCTGGGATTATTATTAAAATTTCAGAGAGAAAATTGTGAAATCATTTACTATTTTGCCACAACGCCTTATAAAACTGGATTAATTTTATCTTTTGGAAGACAACCTTTGCAAGACTCGAGGGAGTAAAAAAAACATGAGCGTGAATCGAAACATTATGCAATCATTGCATAATTATTTGCATGATAAAGGACATACACCAAGTCATGGAAAAGAAAACAGAAAAGCAATGAACAAGAAGAACATTTCTCTTTTATTTTAATTTTAATTTTTTTTTCATTAATGAAGTAATGTAGTGCCAAAAGAGGAAGAATGCTTTATTTTTTGTTCAAATTCCCTAGTGGGGCATAATATCGTCTATGCTGATCATACAGAATATCAAAGATGGACCCCCACCTTCTTTGAAAAAATTCTATACTTATATATTACGTTTAAAACAAGTCCTTATGCACTTCCATCAAAAAAGTTCTGAGTTCTTGCACACTTTCAAATTCAATTTCTCCCTCATACATTAAGTTTTTTTTTTTTTAAAGGATCTATATTAGTTTATTGATCTAGCTAGCGATACATGTATATGATCATTGAGAAGGTTTTGCGTTTTAATTTATTTCACAGAAATAAATTCAAAAAATCTTAACATTTACATCATGTTTGGCTCAATAAGAAAAGAAAGCAGGGTAGGAGTTTTAATAGAAGCTGGAAGGGAATGTGAAGAAAAAAAGAAGGATTCCTTTTTTTTTTTAGTTTAATCAAAGAGAAGAAATTAGAGAAATTTTAAAAAAAATTAATTTTATAAAAATAAGAAAAAATTTATATACTCAGTTATATATATATATATATATATATTTAGGGTGTTTGTTTTTAATTAAATCAAGGCACATATATCATTTATATATTATTTATTTTATAATAAATTCTTATTATTAATGTTATTAATACAATAAGATTCATTTATTTTGTTTTGATTGGATAAAAGTATATTAAGTTAGAATAAGGACATGAACCTTCCCCTGAAAATAATAATATTAAAATTTTTTTGAAATGACATTCACAACAAAAAAATAAAATTGAACTGGTTGGGGGTGAGGAGTTAAACAAGGGAAGGAAAACAACTTCCCTTTCCCTGTAAATTTCATACCAAACACAGCGTTATTTCTCAAAAAAATAACAAATAATTAACCTTTATTTAACATTTTGGCTTATATATATACATATATCAGACTTTCTTTGTTTAAAAATAAAAAGTATTTGTTAAAGAATTGGATATGAAAAAATATAATGTATTTTTAATATTTTGATGTGTAATCATTGCATTTTTATCAAAAGTGTTCCCATAAATAAATTATTTTATATTTATTTTAAAGTAAAATAGTATATTAAATAAGAGTAACTATGAAAAGATAATGTTATTTTAAAGATAAATAACTACTTTATTGAAAGGTAAGATTTAATTAAAAAAATTTTTTATTTTTGAACGAAGGGAGTAGTTAAATCTAAACCACCAATAAATAAAAATTTTTAGGGTAAAGAGGAAAAAATACTTACAAAATAGTCAGCTATGGGCATCCAGTATCCTAAAGTGACGAAAAGGGTAAAAATACCTATAACGTTACATGAATGGGTGTAAAAGTAACCAGACCATTAACTTTAACCTAATACCGTTAACTTTAACCGTTAAATGCTGACTGTGCGTGTCACGTGTTAGTTTTTACTGACATGGACTAAAAAAGGGCACAAATACCCACGAAGTCATCACCAGGAATAAAAATACCCATAACGTTATTAAAGTTGGTGCAAAAGTGACCAATACATCCAATCCCTTAAATATTGACTATTTAGTTGATACCTAAGCATAAATTGACTATATTTTCGCTGATGTATATAAAAAATATTTTAAGATAAATTTTTACAGATGTTGATTGATCATTGTACGCGTACCTATAATATTATTTTAGTAGGTATAATAGTGATCAATCTGTCAAAATAAATGCCATATAGTTTCTTTCCATCACCACATATCTCGCCCCCTTCCTTTCTCCCTCTCTACTCATTTTTCTTGTTTGCAAAATTTAAGATTTAACATAATAAGATAGGTTGTTCAAAATCGAATATCAAGACTGAGCACATCTAGTTTAAGAACATTATTATAATCTTAAGCAATTGCATATATGATATATTTAAAATTTTTAAATGATTTTCACCATTGCTACAAAGATGCAAGCAATTTAATTTAATATTCAATCAAAACAGTATTTTTTCACATGATATTCATACAATAATTGATTAACTTCTAGACAATTTCATCTAAGAATATTTTTTATCTCCATCAATGAAAAAAAGTTAATTTTTACTTAGATGTCAACTAAACAATCAACATTTAAGGGATTGAATGGATTGGTCATTTTTGCACCAACTCTGATAACGTTATGGGTATTTTTGCTTTTAGCTAATGACTTCATAAGTATTTTTACCTTTTTTTAGTCCACATTAGTAAAGACTGATACTTGGTATGCATAGTCAGCATTTAACAATCAAAGTTAACGGTGTTCTGTCAAAATTAACAGTTTGGTTACTTTTGCACCCATTCATATAACGTTATGGATATTTTTATCCTTTTTGTCATTTTAAGATACTGAGTGCCTGTGGCTAACTACTTTATAGATATTTTTGCCCCTTTACTCAAATTTTTATTTGGCTTGAAACATTAATTAAGATTTAAGAGTGTGATTAGTTCAAAAGGAGGGAAAGGGGAGAAGAGGGGAGGGGGAGAGATTTTAATAAATCTTTATTTGGTTTAGAAAGGGAGAGGAAGGAAATCAATAATAGGTTGACAATTTTATGTTTATCAATGTTAAGTTGATTTTTAATTTTATTTTTTTGCTTTGTTTTAGTATTAAAAATAGTTATACTATATATTTTAGTCACTTTATTGTTTTAAGGATATAAACTTATATTAATGACTTTTTAAGAATAAAAACATTAATATTATAGTTTATCAGTATGTCTAATAAAAAATACTAAAATTTTAGATAATAAAAATTATATATTAATTTCATAAAGTGATAAAATTTATTTAGTTATAATAGAAAGGGGGAAAGATAATGCATATTTTTTTAATATCAAACATAGTTTAAAATTTTAAAAATAATAAATAAGTAATTTAATTATAATTTTTTTGTCTCTCCTCCCTCTTCAAAAAACTCTGTATTGGAGGGGAGGGACCCTATCCCTTCAAAATTTTAACCAAACAAGTTAAGAGGCTTTCCTTTCCTTCTTTTATTAAATACCAATCAAATAAAGGAAAGAGAGCAACTCTCCTCCATGCTTTTCTAAAAACTTTCAACTAAACATATCTTAAATAATTTTGATGTAATAAAAAATTATAAATTTGTTGATTAAACAATTCAATTTGGAATTGTGTGCCTATGCGTTCGTTCATGCATGCATTGTGCATATATTAGGATCGGCTCAATGGCAAGCTTGTATTAACGACAGAGATATACACCCCATGTATACTTGGAATATAAACTATTAAAAAAAAAAGAATGTTCACATTGGTCAAGAAAGTATATAATCATTTAGGATTAATGTACAATTTTATCTTTAAATTATTTTCGAAGCCTTAAACTATTTATCATAACAATATTTTCCCTGTCATTAAAACGTTTATTATTGTAGTTTGTGACTTTTTATGAGTTAAGGTATAATTTTTTTGCTAATTTTCTCCTTCTAAAGAGGTATAAAAATGTCTCACTATTTTCCTTATTAATTAAGTAATTTATTTTATTTTAAAGAGAAATTAATATTTTCTTATTATTTGTCCTCGCTAATTTTAAACCGAGCTACAAAGTTATTATTTTTTACTAATTTTTTTCCAAGTTTGGCATTTTAGAGAGTAATAAATGATCTCTTACTAATTTATATTTTTCACGGTGATGGGTTGGTAAAAAATTACCTATAGCATCTGTATTTTTTCAACTATATATAGCATTTGCTAAATTCAATATAAACCCTTACAACATGATAAATCAAGATTCAAATCATTACTGGAATAGGTATTCATATTTAATACTCAACCATGCTTTAAACAAAATTACCTTCAATAAAATGATATTTATGAAAAATAAAAAAAAACAGGATATATTTGATAGCTAGGGATAATTTTTCTCCATTTTTATAATTTCTCAATTGTTTCTGAAGATTTATTTTAACTTTTTGCTGGCAGAGGAGAGAGTGATCAGTTGGCTTAACTTTTTTTAACAAACTATTTTCTCTTATCCTATTTATAAATCATTTTCAATATGTTTCATCAGAGTTAAAAAAAGCCTTAAACTTCATTAATTTGTCTTAAAATTTAATAAATTTTTATCATTATTCCTAATAAATATTCTAAAATTTCATTAGTGGTATTTTTATTCAAAATATTTAATAAGAGAAAAAATGTAAAGATGAGCATTGAAAATTGACAAGTATCTTATGACTAGGACTAAATTTTTCTCTCTCATTTTGCCTGATAAATAAGTCGAGAGAGGTACACAGTTTTCTTTTGTATTTTTCATTTTTAATGTGGACCGAACTTTTAGCTGGCAAAAAAAATTATTAAAGATGGAAATATAACAATGCATTAACAAAAAAATGAAGAGGAAAAGACAATTAGACCCTTCAATAGATTGCAAATTGATTGTTCAGTAATTTACACGATTAAGAGATATCATAATGCATGATTAGGTTCCTTGGGTAAAAAGGAAAGGAAATTTCTACGTAGCTTTCATCTGATAGATCTAGATTCTCTCATTTTCTTCTCCTCATATCCATCCTCACCCTCAATTTCAAAATTAAAGGATTAAGATTTAATGTTTTATAAAACTATTAAAATAAAAAAATAAATGAACAGATTTAAACTATTAAAACCTGATATGAGCGTCTCACAATTGTAAACCAACTGTAGACTATAATTAAAATAAATTAATTAATTTGATTAAATATCAACCCTTGAATTTTTAATCTAAGGGTTAGGATGGGATGAGGAGAAGAAAAGGAGAGAAATGATGATGAGAGGATCCAAATCTTTTGTGGATAGTTTGAGAAAATAAAATTAAAAAAGAACATGAAAGTAATAATCACTGCTTAATGAGGCAAATGAAAAATGTCTTATAGCATTTTGTGAGAATCTAATAAGATCATGATGAGACCATAATGCCAGTGTTTTATAATTTGATCCGGTAACTGTTGTTTGGTAGGAAGGAACATGGAAAAATCATTTTTTTAAGGCATAAAAAAGGGGACACGAAAATCTTTATTTTATTATCATTTGCTGTTCTAAAGATGTTTTTATCTGTAATATATTTCTTTAATATATTTATCCTTTTCGAGAGAGAGAGAGAGAGAGAGAGAGAACTTTTAAATAATTTAGTGCAAGGGCATATATTCCTTTTATTCAACAGACATTTTTAATTAAATTATAATTTAGTAAATTAATTAATTTTTTTATAATTATATGCTCTTTATATATATATATATTTACCTTTATTTAAAGGGTATTTCAATTAGAAAACATTATTAATTACACTTTTAAATAAGATATTTTTAAAAAAATTTTATTAATTATATCTTAAAAGATTTTATATTTTTTAACATGATACTCTTAAAAAAACCTTTTAATATTGAAAAAAGGAAGTACACTAATATACAGTCTAATAGGATATATACCTATAATCATCTAAAGGTAAAATTTTCTTTTTATATTACTTTTGATCCAAATATAAAGAATATTTTAATTAATCTCTATGATATTTTCATTGTATTATGTTCTGTTTATTCTGTAATAATATATTTTGATATAAAGGCTTAAATAGATGCAACCAAATTAAACTTATTAGACAAGCCAATTTTCATTATTCCCATGATCTGGAACCAAAAACTTGGGTTCCTTATTACCCTCAAATTTAATTCAGAAAATACTTTACATTCATGTCATGTTAGGAACATATATAGAAACCCTAGCAAGTTTATATGGAGATGGAAGACAAAGATGAATAATTAATGGTGTCACATAATGGAGCAAGAATTAGGGTTTTCATCACTGAAGAGGGTAGTGAACTTCTCGTCAGGAGCATTAGGAGTAGGAACTGCTTGGGCAACATTCCTGACAAAACCAGAAGGAGCCCTCTTATCATAAGCCTGAGATGCATAAGGATAAGCCACCAAGTTATAAGGAACATAAGGCCAAAACTCTGCTCTCTTCCCTGTTCTCTTCACCCTTTTCAACACCTTGTTTGCATCCACATAACCAGTCACTTTCACTCTGCTTTGCTTTCTTATCACCTCCACTTCTTTCACCCCTGCATAATATATTCATTCACAACTTTTACTCTTTTTCAAATCTAAAAATACAACCAAGACTCTCTAGTCGTTATATCGTGCTATAAGAAAAAAAAACGACACTTGAGATACATAAGTGAACATAACTCTATTCGAGACTCAATCTTTCTCTTCTTATTATGAAAGAAGATCTCATTTCAAATAAATTAGTTTATTGGGTGAGAGAATCTCTCACACTTATAAATTTTATTTCATTTGGGAGGCTTTCTAACATGAGACTTGTGACAATCCCATGATAAGGTGAGAATCCAAGTCTCCTCCAAATATTACACCTACTCATTGCATAATCAATTGAGAAGCAGATAAAGAGAATGACATGACTTCTATCTTGCATGTGAAGGCAAGTTCCAAATGAGATTGGTTTCGGTAATGCTCATCACATGATAAGCAATTTGGATCGTTCAGATTTATATATTTTATTTTATATTTATTAAAATAAAAATTATAAATTTTAATTAATATACTCTGTCATCAATTTGGACAATACAGATTTAATCTGAATGATAAATTTAATATTAAATATTTTTATAATTTTTATAAATTGATTATTCAGATATACTTTGGATAATTTAAATTTAAAATTTTTAAATTATAACTTTTTTAATGTTTTAAAAGCTCCAACTTGAAGATTATCTTTATTTTTAGTTTTTAATATTATATTTAACAAAGTAAAAATTTCTAAAATTTCTAAAAAAGTTTAATATTAAATTTAGATTGTCTAGAATACATTTGAATAAATAAATTACAAAAATTATAATAACATTAATATTAAATTGGACCATTTAAATTAAATCTTTATTGTCCAAATTGATAATAGAGTAAATTTATTAAAATTTATAATTATAAATTTTATTTTAATAAATATAAAATAAAATATATAAATTTAGACTGTCCAAATTAAAAATATGGATGGCCCAGATTTCTTATCATTGATGAGCTCACCATGGGCATTGAATCTCTCTCTCTCTCTCTCTCTCTATATATATATATATATATATTACTATTTTTGTTATTTTTATTTTTTATACTACTACACCTTTGAAAGTTGAAACTGATAAAATGAAATATACAAAAAAATAAAACTCCCTTCGTTTAAAAATATAAAGTATTTTTAATCAAATCTCACCCTCCAATAAAATAGTTATTTACTTTCAAACTAACTTTATTTTTTATATTTATTTTTATTAAACACCCTATAATAAATATAAAGTTATTATCAATAGAGATACTTTTAAAAAAATGGCAATTATTATACCTAAAAATATTAAAAATAATTTATATTTTTAAATATCTAACTCTTTAAAAAATATTTTATATTTTTAAATGGAGGGATTATATATTTATTAAAAGCAATGAAAAATAATGGACGATGAGGGATAACTCATCTTACTTTTCAGTTTTCGTTATAAACGCAATAGACTCCAGAAAACAAAGACAAACAAATGCATATGATTCAAATTAATGTCTCACACTTTCCATAGTCCCAAGGCATCAAAGACCAACTGCTTCAAGAGTTACAATAAAATGTCTCTTGGCTAGCAGTTATTACAAACCGCCACAGTACCATAAAAAAGTGGAGTCTGTCTAATATTCACGAGATAAGATACCATAATTAAGTTGCACTATATAGTATTTAATTTAATTATTAACAATGAATGCTTCTTAGCTCAAAATATACCATCACACACTGCAAAGTTTTTGCTCTCAGCTTATATTCATACAACTTTAAAACAAATTTCAAACAAACATGCATTGATCTTAGTAGAAAGAGTTATGACAGTTTAAGCATAAGTTATTGAGTAAGAGATCAGCTCTTATGAATAATTAAATTGAAGTGATAGGTATTGTGTTAATAAAAAGCATGAAAAGAAGAACGTGAGAGAAAGAAGAGACCTTTCATGCGAGTGACAGCATTTCTGACTTTTCTTTCACAGCCATCACAGTCCATTTTCACCCTGATCTCAACAGTCTGTAACACCACTCATCAAACCCAGAAATCAGAACCAGAAAGAAAAAATGGGAAAAATTAATACATTCGAATTCATAGACCAGACCTGATATGGTTTGCGTCTCTTTTTTCTGCCATAAACTATGAAGAAATCTGAAAGAAAAGCCAGCACTCCCATTTTCTGTGGTCTGTTTGGGATTGATTGATTGATGTGGTGGAGCAGAAGAAGAAGATAGAGAAGCAGAGTACTTAAAGGGACGAAACAGAGCAGTTTACACTTACAGAGGAAGATGCGCAGAGAAAAGGAGCTTTGGTTGGGCTCATCAAAATATGGATTCACAACGCAACTGGTTCCCTTTATATAAAAGCTAAAAAGTTGGCCTCACCAATTTTGTGCTCCCTTTTAGTATTTCCATTCAATCTTATATATATATATATATATATAACATAAAATTTAAAACAAAAATTATGTACACACAAACAGACAGCTCATTTTTAAAATTATGTCTACTTAGGACACACACACACATTATACATATATAAAGAAATACAGTCATTGGTTCTAGCTCAGTATAGTTACATAAAAACGAAACGTTTTTTTTTTCAAAATATACACGAATCTCTCTTTGATGACTATATGTAATTCAAAAATTCATGAGGATTTTTTCTTTAGTAAAAAAATGTAAGTTTTAAAAATAATATAGAGATTTTTATGGTTCAAAATTTGATGAAATTCTTCCTAGTTAAGGAATGTAGAATAAATTTATAAAACTCATATAATTTGTATGTATAATATATATATATATATATATATAGGAAGGGAGATTCTTGATGTTGATTATGGTCCCTCCTCCTGAATAATGATAAGATGATCAGTGATTGGCTTCAAACAGCGAACTTCGGATCATACCAACGCAGAAGTTGGTCCAAACGGTAATATTCAACTCCTTCGTAAATTTAATTTCATATATTTTAATCAAAATATTTTTATTTACTATTTATAGAATAGTGTGTATTATGTATTTAATCAATTGAAAATATTCTACATTCTTCTTCTTCTTTATGATAACATCTATTTGTATTCTCTTTAGTCTCTATATAAGATATAAATGAAAATCGTTTTGTTAAATGTAAATAATAATTATTACTCATTGTTCCTTGCATTTATTAATTTTTTATCATCATTAATACATAATCACCATGTTAAACAATCTATAATAGTATTTTAAAAAATAAATTTTAAACATTTTTATTTAACTTAATTGTAATCCTATTCATAAGTCATTTTTAATATTTTTATTTGAATTAAGGAAAACATTAAAATTCATTAATTTTTTTAAATTAATTAATTTTTTAAATTTACCCCTATTAAATATACATATTTTAATAAATTACTTTCTCTTATCAATATTTAATAAGAGTAAAAAGAGAAATTTATGATAAATAGAGCCAGAGAGAGAGTATCTCTTAATCCTTGTAAAACTTTTACTTAGTTTTTATTGAATTTAAAAGATTCAGAAAAACTATTTGATACAACAAATTAGTTTGGATTTAAGCATTGTTGGATGTTAAGAAATGATACTTATTATATTCTTTTTTTTTCCCCAAAGCTATCATTCAATCTTTTTTCCCCCAAACACCCTTACTGCCCCGAATTAATTGGATCTGTTTTTTTTTTAATCTACAAGATGCATGCCACGTAAATTAAATTTAAATTATTAATAAGAGATGATAAAATATATTTCAATGGTAATAATATAGAATTATAATTGCAATAATAATTGGCAATTTAATACAATGAAAGCAGCTGGCGTAACTGTTTTCGTTTTCCCTAAGAGAGGGCAACTATATATTGTGACGTTGCTTTCTATTTTTCTTTCAAATTTCTGCATCATTGCATGCTAATGTAGTAATGTTGTGCTACATAAACATATATACATATTGTTTGAGTGATAAAAAACTTGATGTATTACTAATTGTCTTGTGACCTAGTAACATGAAAGCTCTGTTAATAAGTGAAAAATTGTGGGTTTGGATTTCACTCTGATTTGCCTTTCTTGTTTATTTCAATACTATAATGCCTATATAATTAAGGATTAGTAGAATATTTCTTACGATTATAATGAAACGGATGCATGGAGTAATGTTTTTTCATCAATGAATGAAAATTTTAAATTAGCAAATATCCAAATCCTTAATGATAACCCCAAAAGGATTTCGTAATAATGAATTTCACTATTCCAACCATTATGTTGCATCTATAATTGTGATAAACGATAGTGAAATGCCAATCATGTGACCTAAATCAAGGGAAATTATGAGAATCACATAAATCTAACAACTGTAATCAACATGACGTGGTCATATTAAATGCTTGTGCAATGATCCAATTTTTTTTCTTTTATTTTTTCTGTGGAATATACACATAAATTTTCATATGGATCATCCGGGTATCATTTTTTTTCTACAAAATACCACATAAATAAAATAGGTGATCTTAGAAGATACGCATGACGATGAAATTCATTTATCAATATAATTTACTAAGATATCAACTTTTTCATAAGTTATAACCATTAGACAATAAAACTTACTTTATATTTCAGTGTACTATTAAACGTGGATTTATGTTCGCACACAATGGAATGCTTGCCAATCAAGCTATTAAAAATTTGATTGGCTATTGAACTAGTCAAAATATTAATTCAAGAGTTAATAGTTAAATTATTATCAGATTGATCGATCATTCATAAAATATTTTATTGAATCAATCAAGATACTAACTCAACAATTAACCAATTAAACCAGTCAACAATTAACCAATTAAACCAGTCAGGTTGATATATAGTTTTTAATATTATGATGCCAATCGCAGATAGCAAATTAATCTAAACATTATATAAAAATTAAAAAATAATTAACAATGAAATCTTGCTCCATCCAATGGCTTGAGAGTGTCCCTTGGATGAATGTTCAAGATGTTAACAATATGATATCGGATATCCTAATCCTTGATGCAACTTTCAGAACTCTTGAAAAAGATGCTTAGAAAGGTCTCGAAGTCCTAATTCATAAAGAATCGAAGTAGTCTCTTATTTTAATAAATATTATTTCTGCAAGATATTGAATACTACTAAATTCAGCTTTATTTTTGTTATAATTTTGATTTTAAAAGCTCAATTAACCTTGAAAAATAAATTATACGCGTTAGACTTTGAATTTGAACGGAAAAAAAAGTCTTTTATATTATTATAAGTTTGAATTTTAAATTTAATCTGTCAATTTAGCTTAAATTTAATACTAAAAGATATTACTAAATTCATCCTAATCAGCTTTGGAAAGTGAGAGTTGAGAGTTAACGGGGAGACAAAATAATACGCAAATATGTTAGTTATTGGATAATTGAACCAAAATGGTTATCTTTAGTCAAGACAACCCTTCGACCCCAAAAAAAAAAGTCATAACAACCCCTTTTTTTTTTGTTCAATTAATTAAGCTCAAACATGAAATATCTATAAAGTAATTTATTGCACATTTAAAATTTATTTCGGTCTGCCCAATTATTTAAACTATAAAATTAAACAATATATAAATAATTTTGTAATGTTTAGACAATGGAGGGTAGGAAAGTGAAAACTAAATATTGTCTCACTTTAATGATTGGGAAAATGAAAAAAAAACCTCTTAAATTATATAAATAATAACCTGATCCTTTAAAAATGTCATAATTATACCAAAGTTCTTAGAAACTTTTATATTAATAAATTTTAAATTGAAAAGACTATTTACCCCTTATTAAAAAGTTGTAATTTATTGGTTAATTTTTACAATTTTTTGAATAAAAGTTGTTATCATTTAAACAAAAGTTGTCATTAGGGTTTATTATTTTAAGAATTTATTTTTTAATAATAGAAATTATATTTGACAAGTTGTGATTTTTTATTCAACTCTTACTATTCATAGAATGAGAGTTGTTATTCCTCAAGAAAAAGTTATTATTGGAGTTTGTTATTTTGATACAGAAATTACACTTCATAAGTTGTGATTTCTTATTTAATTATTGTAATTTACAGAATAAAATTTATTATTTTTTAAACAAAAATTATGATTGGGGCTTATTATTTTCAATAAGGATAAAATAATCTTTTTACTTTAAAGCATTTTGAGAGATTGAATTATCATTTATATAATTTAAAAAATTTATTATCAATTTTCCTTGATGAACTATTGATTAAATACAGAGAAAAAATGACTAGTTATATGACAACAATCTCTTTGCTTTTTTAAAAAAAAATTAAGAAGGGCAAGCTAAACTTGAAATAAGAGTTTAATGGGGATTAATTGGAAGAAAACATAGAGGCCAAATGCTTTCTATCTTCATCCAAACATAAAATGAACTATTGATTATGATTTTATTTATAGATGAGTGAAAGTATTGAGAAAATTATTAGCAATCTTTTAAATAAAATTCATAGTTAAAATCTTTTGAAAAGGGAAAAAATAAAAGAATAAATTGACTCTTAAACTATAATGCCAAAAGCATCTACAATCCTAAACTCATTTTTTATATAATATTTTTTTTAACTTTTAAAAATAGTATAATTTGGCTCCACCGTAAGTTGATAAGAAAATGATAAAAAAATTACAATAAATGATAACAAACAAGGACCCAGAAAATTATATAAAATAACTAAAAAATTTTTACTGATACTTGTTTCGTAATTTTTGGAATAATTTTTTATTATTTTTTGATAAATTAATAATTAAAGTTAATTTTTATTAATAACAGATGTTAGATTATACAGTTTTTAAAGTTGAAGAAGAAAATTACACAAAAAATAATTTTAGGATCTTAAATATTTTTAGAGCTATAATTTAGAGGCCAATTTACCCTTGTTGCCCAAGAAAAAATTATATATATTATTGAAGATATTTTTATTTGATCCCAATAATTTTTGAATTTAGCCCAGTATATACTAATTATTATATGGTTATACTAAAGGATCCATGTTGATATTCTTTTTTTCCTTTTGTTTATATATATATATATATATATAATGGATTGCTTTTATATATATGTAAATGATCATGGATGTATGGATTGATTTTAAAAAAACCTGAACATCAACAGGAGGAAATGCCTTTTTTTTTAGTTTAATTGTGTTTTAAACACGAAGACATTGAATCAATCAGGATATTGGTCTAGAAACAATAATCATCAGAATCATAATCAAATTAATTATACATAAAATATTTTATTAAACCGATTGATTAATTTTTAATCGAATTGAATTTATTTTATGAAAATGTTTTAAAAACTAAATCGGACAATGAATCAAAAATATCAGTGGGTCACAAGTCTCATAATTTAATCGATTAAATTAAAGGTTGATACAGTAACATATAATTAAATAAAAAATAATACATACATACAAACATATTTAAAGAACAGGTAAGAGCAGTTCAACTATTCTAAGTTTTGAGTTTTTGTTTTGGGTTTCAATAACTGCTTGGGTCAAATTGGATCAACTGTTAGAACAGGTCGAATGATTAAATCAAATCATCTTCGTCTTCCAGTGATGGTTCGATCCATATGACTGTTTGGGTCGGTCTGGGTTTGAAAACAGTTATAATCTGTGGTTCATGGCTGTAAATATGCGTTGTTTTCCCCCTTGCAATTTGGCATGATGCTGTGCTTTTAGTCGGTGGTTGGAAGCCAAGCGGCAAGGCCTAATCCACTTCCACAATTCCACTCTCCCGTGCGTGTTCGAAGCAGAAGGAAATCCTACAGTCTCTTCCAAGTTTACGAGCATGATTGCTAAAGCCAATCTCATCTCCTGCAACTTCTCCACTTTACCATCTCTTGCTCTCACCAAACCAAAATCCAAAATTCCGCTTCAAACCCCCAAACCTCAACCCATAATTCCTTCATTTAAATCAACAGCAACATCGCTTACTGTATTCAAACCTCTTGATGTTAAAACCTCGTTATCTTCGTTTCAAACCAAGGGTCGTCTCCGCATCTGTCACAGTTCCTTGAACCGTCAGAATTTAGAAGATCCGGAATTGAAGGAAGAAAGTGAGCTTGGCGGGAATGGAAATGGCGGGGAAGGAAGGGACTGGACTACGTCCATTTTGCTTTTTTTGCTGTGGGGTGGACTCATATACTATGTTTCTTTTCTCGCCCCAAATCAGACCCCGGTAAATTGAATTGTAATTATGTTTGCTTGTTACTTCCAATTACCCATTTTTACAATTACATGTTTCGAATACCGATTCTTTGGTACTCTTTCAATGGTTTTAGGGAGTGTTAGTTAAATATGTACTGTAATCCTCATTTACTTTCAAACTCATTTATAAGATTCTTCGATGAGATATATAGTTAAAATTCAAATTTCTCATGTTCATTAAATGTTGAATTTTTATATCTCCAACTTGTCCTTACCATTTTCCCCCAGTCGCTGGATATGTACTTCTTGAAAAAGCTCCTGAACTTGATAGGAGATGATGGCTTTAGAATGAACGAAGTGATTGTATCATTATGGTACCTAATGGGCTTATGGCCCTTGGTGTATAGCATGATGCTGCTTCCTACTGGAAGAAGGTAACTCTATTTCTTTCTGTCACTGATGAAATTTCGGTATCATGCACCCATTTTCCTTTGCTCTGATGAAAATTTTTAGGTAAATGAATGGCTAATGGTTCAAGGCTATTGTAGTATATGACTTGCCTGATTCAATTTGTTGAATCCCTTTTCAAATGATGGATTTTTCTTCCTGCTTACTTTTCTCTTTTAGTTTATTGGCAAAAAGAATACTCTGGCAGCCACCCATGGGTTTCAACTTTATGTTCTTACTTCCCTTCTTGTTTAAGGAGAATTCAATAAGATTTTCCTTTTTCAATAGTTATAATGAGTTTTGCATGCTACCTTAAGCAGCAGTGCTTCTGCAACAACAGATATTATAATGTAGCGATTGTATCTGAAGAGAGATGAATTTTTTTATTTCATATCTTTCCTATCCTGTTTTAAGCCCTTCGAACTGTTGTTTTTGCAGCTCAAAAAGCAATATTCCTGTTTGGCCCTTCCTTGTACTTTCATGTTTTGGTGGTGCATATGCTCTTCTTCCCTATTTTGTCCTTTGGAAACCACCACCACCTCCTGTTGAAGAAAGTGAGCTTAGAACCTTGCCATTGAATGTTCTGGAATCAAAAGTAACTGCTGGGGTGAGTGAAAATCTTCACTTGAGCTTGCAGTCTAATTTATCCAGTGTGACATGTGGACATCATTGTAATCTGCTTAAGGGTGCCGATGTCTAGGTATTTTAGTTCAGGTTCCAGCCTAAGACAAAACCACTTACCCTTACCCAGTTGTTGTTGCACACTTAATTTGGGTGAAGACATGAAATAACTATGTTCAAAGAGCCCTTGTATACAATTGCATGACCCATAGATCATTCAATTGGCGGTTAATGTTTTGAGGAGATGACCTAAATACTGTAACCTTCATTCTGACCCATGTTCCATATTTTATTTCAAGATTGTTAACCTTTATATGGCTAGAGAGAATGCCAACATTCCCCAGCATTAATTTGGTTTCACCAACATAATCATATTGTTACCTTTTCTTACTTCTATAGGCATGCTTAAAGGGGAAATGACCATCAAATGCCACAACTATGGTCACAAATTTCACATTTTACACCATGACAATTGTAATTGTATGCCCCAAACGAAAATTCTCAGATGACCTACTGATCGTGTGAAAAATATTAAAAAATTGTGAATGCAACAAATCAATTACCTTTGTTGAACCAAACGAACCACAGTGCCTTGGAGTAGTTTAAGTCTGAAAGCCTGGACACTTGACCAGCATCTCCTTGTCAAGCACCAATGGTCTTCTGTTGCACTGGTGATTTCAACTTATAGCTGAAGGATTCACATGCTACGCAGAATCATCATTTTAAAGTATCGATTTTATTTTTGTTCTTGAGTATGTGACTTAACACACTTCAGATAGCACTTGCTGCAGGGTTAGCCCTCATTATATATGCAGGTTTAGCTGGTGGGCCAGTGTGGAAAGAATTTTATCAGTACTTCAGGGGAAGCAAATTTGTAAGTTTATGTCCCTTTTCTGTCAGCGAAATTAGATTCCCTACAATTAATTATGAAACGGTTAACTCTGGGTTATTTCCATAAATGTACCATTAAACTCTATGGATCTGTCACATCAATTGGAGGACCTGCTGCCGTGGACTTCCCGATTTCACAGTGCTTGTATCTTTGATTAATTCTAAAATCATGTAGTTTCATCAATAGTTGCTAGTCTTTCGGAACCTGGTCATGATATGACAAAGTTATGGTTAAACTAAACACAGTTCATAGTCAGTATTATTGCATTTGAAAATTTTCACTTCATTTACCGTTTTTCATTTATTTTTATATATTCCCTTTATTTTTGAAACTACACTATCTGTTGGGTGCTAAACCAGAAACACTGGGATTTCTTTGTTGCAGATCCATATTATGTCCATTGATTTTATTCTGCTTTCTTCATTTGCACCTTTTTGGGTTTACAATGATATGACTGCTCGGAAACGGTATGCTGGTCTCTGCATGTTTTCACTTTTACACACCAAGATGCCAATTAGATAGACGTTATATCAAGCATAAACATTAATACTAGATTCAATGTGCAGGGTTGACGAAAGTTCTTGGTTTCTTCCTCTGTCGCTGGTACCATTTCTGGGTCCTGCTTTGTACATTTTCCTTCGGCCTTCGTTGTCAGAAACAGCCAGTCCTACGACTGAGGCAGACTAAAGTCAACTTGTTAGCAGCTTGTGTGATTACTGCCAATGAAAGGGATTAGACATTTTTCTTGCTGCAAGAATTGAAGCTGATTGTGATTCTGTGAGCCTGATTCAGAAATGACAGTATCATTCTACAGAGTGTGCCGCAGAGCTCCAGCAGCTTATACCGCCTGATGAGATTCAATGCTAATCTCTGATCAAATAGAAGCTTCGGGCTTGCCTGGTTTTATTAAGTTCTTTGAGAATCTAATTGATCAAGTCAAGACTCTCTCTCATTATCTTTTCATCATAGTCGAGTATAAAACCAGAAGCAAGTCAAACGTAGATGAAGTGAATTTGCTTCTATCAAAAGAACATTCTTCACAAGCCAAATTTTACACTTTATCCTTAAAATATTTGTTGTCTTGAATTTTGAAAATTAGAATCTCAATACGTGGTTGATGCATATTATACATGTGCATAAGAAAGTTTATAACTATGGCGCAAGTAAATTGTAAATGCAATGGAATGACCTCAAAAAATATTGGATGCTAAGGAAAATAAGTGAATGAAAAAGGTCAGCATGAAGAAATTTTGACGATAAGATAATATAATTTCGTATCACTAAAATAAGGTAACAAAGAACAAATACATGAAAGGAAAAGCCATAAAATAGATATAGATACATGTGTACAATAACCATTAAATAGTGCCACTATTTGGATAAACTTAATGTATGATCAGTATATATGTAACTTTTCAGGCCAAAAAAAAAAAAAACAGTTCTTTTGCTATGCTTTTCGCTTAAATTGTGCAATGAACTTAACTTCTCAATTAAACAGTGCGTCCTAAGATTCTTGGTCTCGAATTCTCAAATGCAAGCACTTAAATGTAAAGAAAATGAAGAATGAGAAGAAAAAAAGATGAAGAGAAATTGAAGATCTATGTGTTGACTATTGAGAATAAGCATGAAGTAGTTAATATTATGAAAGAAATTATAAAAGATTTTGATAAAAATGGCAGAAAATAGGGAAACAAAAATACTATCAATTTACTAGGTACTAGAAATAAACGTGATATTGATCAAGTACTTTGGAATTGTAAATTTTAGTTGTAAAACATTCTTCATATTTTTCAAGTGTCCTTATTTGTCATTCTGCTAAAAAAAATTCATTTCATAATGATAAAGTTTCACTTATTGCCTAAGAAATTTATTTAACTCAAACACTAATTAATAAAAATATTTATATAAGTATTAACTAACTCAACGATGCAAATTTTTATTTTTTTTATTAATTAACAAAACAACTTATCTGTTATCTCTATATCAGATAGGCATATTACAAAACCAAATACATAATTATTTTCTCTGATAGAATGCAGAAAGCAAGTAGCGGGACCGCGACGACCTGATGGGAACTCGTTGCCACCACCTCTCGATAGTGTTGAAGCCGTGAATCCTTGCATTCCGGCGGCCGCGCTAATTTCGTTGTTATAGTGCTCTCAACTCTCACCCTTATCTTTTCCGTCGACGTTGTCCCTGCCTTGGAGCTTATCCTCCGTCGTCTTTTCTATTTCTCACTATTTCCTTTCTGCAATCTTCCTTGTCGGTGCTCTGCCTAGAATTTTGAAATCTGTGGGATTCTTTAGAGCCCGCTGGTAAGTTTATTTTTATTCTTGTGATGTATCCGTATATAGGAGCAACTCTACAGCAATAAGTGGTTTTGTTCCTTTTTAATCTATGTTCGGCGTGAAGTTGGAATTTTTATGGTCTGTTTGCATTGTAGCTAAACTTTGTTTCTCAAAAATCTACATTACCTGGGTTGATTTACAAGTCTACAGTTGATAAATGCATATTCTTCTTGGCTTTTGTGTTCCATGCTCAATAGTTTTGTCATATTGGGAATATTATGATGTCACTTCATGGTACAAGAATTTCTTATTGTAAAATAATACAAGAAATTTTAATTGTATAGGCATCAGTCTCCTCTAATAGAGAATGTTTTCTGGGGTGAAATTCATTTCGCGTGATCAGATCAGTAAGGTATGAATACTTCTGCCATAATCATGTGTTTATATGTATATTGTGCATTATCTGATGAGAAGCATGTCTGAACTGAAAAATCACATTGCGATACTATGACAGGATGAGGCCTTGGATTCTTCCTTGAAAGAGAGGAACAAGTCTGGAAAGAAAAAGAGTAAGAGTAAAAGGAAGAGCTCTAGATATGACTCTTCAGACGATGAGAGTCTTGAAAAGATAAAAAAAGGGTCTAGAAAGAAGAAGTGGTATTCGTCTGAAGATAATTCTTCATCATATGAAAGTTCACGAGACAAAAAGAAGCGTAAGAAAAGGACACAGAAGAAAACTGATGATAATTCGTCAGATGACTCGGCAGAAAGGTTGAAAAGAAAATCAACATCAAGGAGCGGTAAAAAAGAATATACATCTGAAGAAGGTCCTTCATCGAATTCTGATGGAAGTGATGGCTTTTTGGATGAAGAAGCATCGCGTAAAAATACCCAAAGAATAGATGGGAGTAAAAAGAACAAGATAAAACGGGAAGATATAAATATTAGTGAGAAGGAAATTGCAAGAAAAGAAATGGGATTAGAGTGGATGCTTCGGTCAGAAAGTAAGAAGCCTACAGAACCAATTGAACAATTGGCAGAGGAACCTTCAGTTGAAGAGGTATGTCTTAATTGAAGAAAATTTTAGTATCTTACTTATCTCAGTTCTCAAAACACTGACATATCTAATATAATTGTAACGAAAGAAAGGATAGTGGACACATATGGAACCTTGATATTTTATTGGCTCTCGATAATTTTGTGCTATACATCTGGGACCATTGACCTGATTTTGCATGAGAAGTTTTTACTGTCCAATGATATTCCTCTTATAAGGAGAGTTTTAGACCGTTGATATCTTATTGGAAATTGATAATTCTTCTGCTTGTCTGCAATCTTATTGGCTTATTTATTGCCATATGTTATTTGCCCAAGTGATATAGGAGTGAGTTGTGTTTTTTTTTTTTTTTGTCATAGTTGATGTTCCAAGTAGGATGTATTTCCACATTCTCAGTCTGAAGTGTGCCTTTGTTTTTGAAATTTGTCTTCATCTTTTAATCCACATAGCAGACAGTATTTGCTTATTATACACGCATTTTCCCTCTTCAGATAAATATTGTGAATCCTAAGGAATTGAACCCATATCTGAGAGATAATGGAAGTGGTTACCCAGAAGATAGTGATGGGGTTAAAGTCGGCACAGACAAACTCTTATCTTCTTCCCTTGTTGGGGATGGTGGAGCCAGCTGGAGACTTAAAGCATTGAAGCGGGCACAAGAGCAAGCAGCTCGAGAGGGACGAAGGCTGGAAGAGGTATTGTGTGCTGCCTCTTAAGATATGCTTTGAGTCCATCTTTTATATTTTGCTCCTAATTATTTTTATGCATTTGGATAAGTATAGGTTGTGGAAGAAAGATGGGGTTCACTTGGTGATATAACTGCATCTGTGGCATCTCATGCAGCAGCTCCATCTCGTTCTCATTTACGTGCAATAAAAAGCAGGAGGAAAGGGCTGACTGAAGAACAATCACTAGATTCAGTTAATCATGGAAAGGACACTAAAAGGGTAAGTTGGATGTCATGGAGAAAAAATACCATTACTATCTTTTGTTTTGTTTTTTTTAATGGAATGAATTTTCAGTTTACTAATGAATTCACATTATATTTTGTGGAATTCATTTTATAATTTCCTGTAGAGGTCACTGAATTTGGCCAATGATATTTTGGCAGGATTACTTAAAGGATGTATCTGTTCGGCATCGTGAAATGAGGGCACCTAAAATTCAAGATTCTTTATCCTGGGGTAAGCGAAAAAGTCAAGCTGTTTCAGCTGAAGGTGCTGAGATTATTTCTGCAGCAGCATCTAGCCTAAACAAGTTTTCAAATGATGGTAGCTTTATGGATGGATTTCTTTCCAAGAAGAAAAATGATTTTGATGAACGTGTTGAGGAAACTGTCAAGGTGGAAAGGTTTTCATCTGATGCTGACAGACCTGCTGAGATAAGCGCAAATCTTAAGGAGCAAGACCCACATACACCAAGCCTTGGGGTAATTCACCTTTTCCCAATTCAACTCTCTTATTTCTAATCCTGTTGTCTTTTTTTTATTGATGAATGCTTATGAATGTAATAGTATGATTGTGATGGAGGATTAAACATTTGATATTTAATACCCTTGCTGGAATGAGGTTGCTGCTTTTTGTGCTTCTATTGTTGAGTAAGGGAAGTTCTCTCTTACATTTGTCTTAGATGATGATAGTTTGTTTTGGTTTCTAACAATATTTTGAATTTTTGACAAGTGAGAGAATTTCTCAAAGATAAATAGATTGAGGTAATTGCATTGCAGGCCCCCAAAACCAGTATATTTGCATTGAAAGCCTAATAGAATATGAAATAATTCTGCAGGCCCAAAGGCCCATCTTGCAATTAAGTTTTCTGGTGAAAAGACAAAATTGCCCCGTTGTAAAATAAATGAACAGTTTCTTGAAGATAAATGGACTTCGATTGTTATTTATGGATTTTTTGTTATAAATTTCATCTGAGTAACTTGTAAATTTTTTCTCCATAACAAGTGTAAACCACATGAACTATATAAAATAAGCAGACATTTTGTTGTAAATGAATGGACTTTGACTATTATTTACAGAGTTTCTATTGTAAATTTCATTTGAATAACTTGTAAATTTTCTCTCTTTTAGCAAGCGTAAATCACATGGACTATGTAAAATAAATGGACGTTTTGTTGTTAATAAATAGACTTTGAATATTATTTATAGAGTTTCTGTTGTAAATGTTATTTGGATAACTTGTAAGTTTCTTCTTCTTCAAGTGTAACTACATAGGCTATGTGAAATAAATAGATGTTTTGTTGTGAGTAAATGGACTTCAAATGTTATTTGAAGATGTTTTGTTGTATATTTCATAAAGGGGCAATTCCATCTTTTCGCCAAAAAACTAAATTGCAAGGGAAGACTTTGGGCTTGCGGAATTATTTCATCTATTGGCTTAATGCAAACATGTTGGTTCTAGGGGCCTGCAGTGCAATTCTCCCTAATAGATTCTTTTGAAGGCGTGAGGAGGAAAGAAAAAGAAAAAAATTATTCATTGATTGTTACCAGGCCATTAGGTCTAATTTGGGAAAGGATCATAATCTATGACCTTTCTTAAGTGTTCAACTCATATTATATTCAACGACGTCTCTTTAACAGATATTCAAAAGGGTTGGAGAGTAACTATATCTTTTTTATTTATTTTTTATGACTATTGACTAGACCTGTCTTATTAGTTGTTTTTGTTTTTTTTTGTTTTTTTTGGTTTTATGTCTTTGCTAAGGTCAATATCTTGTTC